CTCCCGTGGGACTGGATAGCAGGAAGGGGCCCAGGAACCTGAAATGTGCTGGTCGCGACTTAGTGGCGATGGGGTGGGGGTCGTTTAAGGAGGACAGTCAGGCAGCTGGGGTTTGGGGTTCCAGCAGTCAACACTGCATTCCTTCCCACCCTGCGGCTCTGCCACCCCCCCCCACTGGGGCAGCCAATGCCCACTCATTTCTTGTGTAACTTTCCAGAGGAATTCTGTGTTTCTCTGCGTACCCATTACAGCACCCCCTTTTTATCCCCAGATAAGAATCACAGTTTCTACACTTTGCTTTTCAAAGGTGGAGGATCCAAAGATCTCCCACAGACCTGCTAATGGAGTGGCCCCTTCCGTTTTAGTGGCTGTATAGTATTCCCTCTATCTTTCCATACTTAATCGGTCCACTGAGCACTTTGTACATAAATCAGTTCTTACCCACAAGCAAGTCACTGTAGTTTTCTTTTCATGCTTTCTTTCAATGCCCTTACTCACATATTTCATAACGACCTTGAGGTCTTTTAAACATTCATTGTGGATTCCCAATGACAGAACTAACACTGCCACACAAACCCTTCACGGAAGGTCCAGCTGGGGCAGGCGTGGGTCGGGTATTCTGCCAAACACCGTCGGTCACTTGCGACGCTGGGTTTCTCAGCAGGAGCTGCTGTTGCCGTCCCGCCAGGGTGAAGCTCCTCGGCTTCTGTGAGCCGCACACGCACCGCGTGTCACCTTCTTCCATGCTTGTTCTTTGGAGGGTCCCGCCTGGCCACACGCAGTGACTTGGCTTGATAAGGGGCCCACGGGACACTGGTCCTGCGCGCAGCTCCCTGGTGCTGTCCACTCACCAGTGGCACAAAGGGCACCTGCGTGGATCGGACGGCAGCCGCACTGCCCTGGGGCCTGGGGCCCTGGCGCGGCATCTTGGCCACGCGGGTGTAGGGTGACCTCTGGGGCCTGAGCCGTCGCCGGCCTCTCACAGCCCAGCACCTTTGCTGCATGGGTGGATGGAGGAGGCTGGGCTCGCCCAAGCCGCTGAGGTGACAGACCAGCCCTGTTAGCCCCTGAAACACAAGGCCTTGTGCATGCCCATGGTGAGAGAGTCTGAGGGGCCATGGTTTCCATCCTCTGCTACACAAGCCCCTCTGAACCACTCAGGTCCTGCAGTTTGGGCGAATCACGGAACCCATCAGCCCCTGGGCTCAGGAGCCACCATTCCCCCGCCTCTGGAGACAGAAGCATCGGGTCACTGAGCGCTGTGGTTCTGCTTAACCCCTGCGTCCCATCATCGGCAACCCACACACCCGAGATAATCTGGAGGGAGCCGCCAGCCCTTAGGTCCTGAGACGACTCAGACTGCCGGCGAGTGGGAAGCAGTGGCGCTCTCCCCACGAGGCCGCCTCGCGTGCACATGGGGACCCCACCCGCCACTGGGGTCCACACGCTTCCTTGCCCCCAAGTGAGCCCCGAATGGCCACGCACCCCAGGGGATCCGGGTCAGGGCCCTCTTCTGCGCAATGCAGCAGGAGAGCCTCACGACTGCTTTGTGGGTGGTGGGGTTGCACACAGCCCCCCTGCCTCTTGCCCCCTTGGGGCGCGTCTGCCAGGCATCAGGGAGCCCCCTGCTCCTCACTGAGCAGGAGGTAGGGGAGCTGCTGGGAGCCTGAGGACCCCCAAGTGTGCAAGTGTGTTTTTTCAGGCCTTTGCCCTTCCTCTTCCCCAGAGAAGCTCTGTTTGCAGCTAAGAACTCTCCAGCATCTGACTTTCCTCCACCCCAAACCCAATGCGGGCCAGCTCGACCTTCATGCATCATGACCCCACGACCCCAGAGCCCCCCCCCCCAGAGCTGACAGCAGTGGGAGCCTTTTTCAAACTTAACACTTTTAAGAATTTTAAGATGCACGGGGATTTGTGCCACGTACTGTTTCTGTTTGCCAGGTGTGTGATGAGCGCAGACCGGGAAGGGAGCTGGGGTCTGTCCTGGCTCAGGGGCCCTGCAGTCTGCGCCCGGGCCTCAGTTCAACCGGTGGGATAATAATCGCATTTGCCGCAGGGTTGAGACTGAAGGAATTAATACCCGGAACTTGCTTAAACCTTCCCCTGCAGGCACGGCAACCCCCGCAGAGGATTATCTGCTGCTGTTATTGCTACAAATTGACAGAGTGTTTTATTCTCTCTCCTGCACATCCACCAAATTTTACAGACCGGGCAAGTTACACTCAGGGAGCTCTCCTGCATACTTCTTCCCCTCCTCCCAACTTTCCTCTGCTTGCTTTCTGGACACCTTCCTGCTTATCCACTCCCCGGGTGGCTCCCCCCTCTGTGTCTGCTGTGGGTTGAATGGTGACCCCCCAAAACACACGATGAAATCCTAACCCCCAGAAGCTGCGATTGTGACCCGAGCTGGGGGCCTTTCCAGATGTCATCTGGTGAGGAGGAGGTGGTGCTGCGTTAGGTGCCCCTTAAGTTCCAAGATGGTGCCTGGGAAGGCGTTCTGGGGATACAGAGGAGCCCTGTAGGGCGAGAGGATGCTGGACACCTGCGAACTGGGAGGGGTGGGAAGGCATCCTCCAGTGAGCACGGCCCCCCATGCTTTGGTTTTTAACTTCGTGCCTCTACAAGGTGCGCGAATAAATGTCTAAAGCTGCTTGTCTGGGCTAGTTTTTTATGGGTGTCCCAGAAAAGCGGTCCAATATCCACGTCTCCCAGCCTGTCTCCCTGCTTCGGGTCAAAAGCAGCCCCATTCCATACGCCTCTTTGATTACAGCAGAATTCAGCTTCAGCCTCAGTACCTGTTCCACGCTTTCCCACTCGACCTCAGCCTCCCCTCAGTCTTTGCAAAGCCTCAATCACCCGGGGCCACCTTGACTGTCATTTCCGGAATCCCTGAACCGTGAGGGCTCAGTGAGCAGGGGACCCCGTGGGTTACCATCACATCTGTCCAGTGCAACAACATCTGCAGCAGCAAACGGTCTGGCCATTCCTACCCCTACCTGCCGTGAAGATCTGAGCAGTCGCATTCAGATGTCTGCATCTTGGCGGGCCTGGGATGGCAGGTCTCGCTGCGCGTCAAGCTCAAACCTTTGTCATCCAGTTGATCTCCATATGTGAGTGTCTGTGTAATTATACACTTACAGAAGTGAGAGGCTGGAATGATGCTTGAGAAAAGTCTGTGGGCTACAGTTGGGCTTTTAGGAAAGAGCTCAAAAATCCCTTTTTAAGGGGAGTTGGGGACTGTGACAGAGCTTTACATTTGTAGGGCGGTGAAGGGAGCAAGATTAGGGAGCCTGTAGTTTGGAATATTACACAGTCACAACAAAGGCGGGCCAGTTCCACTAGGCGCCCGGAGCCAGGTGGCCTCAGACACACACCTCCGATTGGGGACAGGGAACTGGGGCTCTGTAGGGTGTCGCGAACAGTCCTTGAATGTGAGGTGCCCAGGAGCAGCCCGTGGCCCGGCGTGAGGTGGTTCCCTTCCTCTGAAGCCATCTCCAGGAGGGGCACATAGCTTCAGGCTTCAAAACTCGCAGCAGCAAAAGCAGAGGCTTCTGTACTGAGGGGACCATGGTTTCTAAGCCCCAGAACCACCTCTGATAACTTCCATGTACAGGTGCAGATCAGGAAGTAGAATAAGTGTTGCTGTGAAGATTAGGGCGCTTTAGTTAGATGGAAGAAAGTCTTCTGGGAACTGGGGACCACTTGTAAAAATGTAAATAACAGCAAGAGACGAAACAACAGACCTCAGGTTAGAAGGAACTGCGAGGGTCATTTTATGACAGCTGCCTTGGCGGGATGTTCGGGCTTCTACATGCAAATGTATTTGACTGTTGAGTGACTTCATCCCACTTTAGTGAGGCTTTTTAAAAGAAAAAGCATGACCTGAGCGTTCTTCACCTTGGAGAGGATGAGTTAAACAAGACTGACAACTTCGCTGACTTAAATTTCTTGAAGTAGAAATGAAACCTCCCAACATCATGTAGAACAACTTCTCTGATAAGTCTTTGATCCAGACAGCATCATGAATGCAAAGAGCTTAAAAAAAAAGGAGAGTGTCAGAAATGCCCCAAACGCACTTTGTTCTCACTAATCAAACTTCAGAACAACATATTTTATAGGAATACTTTAAGCGAAGATCTTTTCAGCTTTGGGTCTATAGAAGGCAGCACCTTAAATCAAAGCTGTCAAATTGACTACAAAATGCTGTCAACCGGTTTTAGGCAGGAAAGATGAATGAAAGTTTGCCTAAGTTATTATTGCCGAAATATCTTTTTTTTTAAAGTTATTTATTTCTGCAGATAAGAGCTGGGGTGTGGGCCGGCGGTGCGGGGGTGAGAGGATTCATCAGAGGCAGAGCGGGGAGCAGAACAGGCAGAT